CCACGGTGTGGGAGGTGGTGTAGGTAGGAGCCCCAATAATTTCTGAAACTGAAGTTCCTGCTGGCATGGACTCTTGGAGTCAGATTTACGTTGAAGTAAAAAAAAAAAAAAATAGATGTAACATTTCTTACAGACCTATATTTGTTAAGATTCAGACCTTCTATAGTTGTAAAGCACTGGAGAACTTGAAGACGAAGTAATTGCTGCTCTCTCAAAGCTTACCACCTGTGTGGGAACTACCAGAGGTCACAGGACACCTATGTAAATAACTCCCATTCAAAGCACCACAAGATCGTGACATGGTACAAACTGTAGTAAGAGTTCTCCATCACGAGAGGTAGACAATTGAATTTACAAAAGGCGGACTGCCAGGAGGATGGAGCAAAGTTTCTCCTGAAGGGATGTATTAAGATGTACCCTCCCCCAATTATTGCATGCCAAACCATTATTATGTAATTGCTATAGCTATAAACTCATAAAATTCTGTAGACCCTAATGTTATTTTGGAAATATGCCTGCTTGAAATGAAGAGAGGTCTGGAAGCTGGAGATCGAATAGGGAACTATATAGTTAATGATTTCCATAAAAGTGCTTAGAGTGTTATCTTCAGGGAATTTGAGAACTGGGAGGGCCTTCAATGGCCAATCAGCCCCTCCTCTTCTCCCATCCTCCACCCCCTCCCATTTTACAGGGTTGAAATTGAAGCCCACTTAGAATCCAGATTTAGTGAGGTCTCAGGGTTGCTAATTTGAAAGTCTGTTGTGATGGTCAAGGCCTTGGTGTAGATTGGGTCACCCCTTAACTGCTGTGTCAGCAACTGCTGATATTTCTTGCCTGGACAAATGTAGCTTCCTAACCAGAAGTTTAGTCTCTGTCCCTGCTATGCACTCATTTCTCATCCTAAATCACTTTACTTTCTTGTTTATAAACTTTTAACCATTACTCCATTAAAAAAAAAAATGTAAACTTTGTGGTTTGGCATTCAGGGCTTTCTATGATCTGATTCCAACCAAGTCTTCTGAGCTTATCTCCTTCCGCCCTCTGTGCATGCACTTTGTTTTGCTGGGGCAGCTTTCCCACTCTTCCACATGCTGTTCTCTCCTGTGCCTTTGCTAATCTTCTCTTTGCTTGAAATTCCCCTCCCACCAATTCTTATTTGTCCTTTGAGGCCAGTTAGTTACCTCCTCTGAGGAGTCTTCCCTAGGTGAGGGACAGAGCATCAGATGGACCCAAGAATGAGACACTACTTAGCCACTTAAGTCCTGAAAGACTCCAGGCTGGTTACTGAATTTCCCTGGGACTCAGTTTTCTCATCTGTGCAATGGGTAAGTCCACACCCACCCTGGGGCTTGGTTGTAAGTTATAAATGGGTTAATCATATTGCAAAGAAGTCAGCACAGTTCCTTGTACATGGTACATGTCAAAGAATGTGACTGATTACTCCAGTTATTCCAGGGACCTGTGGTCTCCTCTTTATTGAATTTCCTTTCATTCTGAGTTTTATATTCTGTTTTGTAATATTAACTTTGCATTTTAGATTTGTAATGCAGGTTTTATTTCTCTCATTTGATTCATAATTCCTTGAAGGTAGAATCATGTTTTCTTCTAGATTATCTCTTTTGCATTTTCCTCTACATGGTAGGACCTCAAACTGTGGGCAAAGGCTGACTTTTCAAGTGTGTAATTACTGACAAAACTTTGCTTTGCTGTTACTATTCTGTTTCTTCTAAAATCTGACAATAATTTTAAAAAAGGCAATCTCCTTAGATACGAGAATCTCAGTTGTGGGGCCTCTGTTTCATAGACATGAGGGAGACAATTTGTGAAGTGGCTCGTGGAGATTGGTAAATTTCAATTAAATTTTGGGAAATTGTGTCCTTGAAGGACATGTGGCCTTAACTCTCTGGACCAACTCAGTCTCATCATTTTCCAGCACGCATTCCATGGTCTGTGTGACACTCCTTGGAAAAAGGAATTTCATGGTCAAATGAGTTTGGGATACAGATTCTAATGACTCAATCATGGAGAGTCAGAGGACACATTAACCACCTAAAATGTGTGAGATGTCCTGCAGTAAAGAAACCAACATTAAATAGTTAATGAGAATAGCTAACATTCATTAAGCTCTCATTTTATGCCAGGCACTTTGATATTAGGCCCTTACATAGATTCTCTAATTTTTAATCCTCAGAATGCCCCTGGAAGATGGAGAGTATTACTATTCTCAATTAATAGATAAAGAAACTGATGCTTCTTAAATGGGTCCAAGTTCACCCTGCAGTTAAGAGGTGGAACTGGGATTTGAAGTCAGATGTTTGTGACCCCAAAGCCGGACCTCTGGTCCACTGTTGTGCACAGCATTCAGCATCCCCAAATTTGCTTGACCAGGAAATACTTTAGGTTATCCGCTTATTAATAACTCGTGAAACTGGTGTTCCTTGGAATGCACTTTGGAAAACAGAGCCTCAGCAGCCCCAAGCTACTTGGTTTATGGAGCATCCATGACTTTTACCCTTCTGTGCCTTTGTGTGCCAGCCTCACCTTGGACACCCTTGTGCCTTTTGGGTTTCTCACACAATTTTACTCATCCTCCAAGGTCTAGATCAAATGTGGCTTTATGAGAAGCTTTCTTTGACCTCAGCAAGTCTGTTTGCAAAATACATATTTGTGTTCCTGCTGTATCTTCTACACTGTTAATGTTTGGTCCGTCTTTGTCAAGGACCGTGTTCAAAGAGTCTTGGTAAAGAAAGCTTCCATCACAGAGAGGACACTGTGTGAAGGTTTACTGAATTAGGATGGTTTCTCTTTCCTAGGCCCTCAGGCACTGATTCCCGAGCCTGGGGCTTTCAGGTCCAGGTTTACAGCCTTGAGGCCTGTGACCATAGTGACTGTAGCCTGTACCCTGGACTAAGCCACTCCCAGCAGTTCATCAGTTAACACTGTCCTCTCTCGTTCCTCTGCCTCTCTCTCCTAGACTCTCTGAGGTGAGGAGGTGCAATGAGGTCACACTGGGCCTGTCTCATCAGCGCCCTTTCTGGGACAAACCTGATCTGTCCTTTCCAGGGCACCATCCAGGTTTCCTTACAAAGCCCCCCAGTGACTGCGCCTCAGATGAGTCAGCTGGCGTGAGGCTTCGTTAGCAACCCTGATCGCCTTTTTGTTTTTGTCCTCTGTGAGGCCTTCTCAGGCCCAAGGGTGGGGCCTGGCGGGTCTGGCTTCCAGAGATGCCGCCAGCCTCCGTGAGAGCCCGTGATGGGACATTGGCGCTCCAGCTCCACAGCAGTCACGTCATGCCACACTGCATTTGTGGGCCGCACCCATCCCCAGGGTGCACTCAGGCACCATGCAATGGCTGGCCATCCCAGCTCTGCGGCTGCCTGCGATGAGGTCATGGATGGGGCCCTGGAGACCCCCCTCTGAATAGGGTGGGGGCTTCCCCAGCAGGCCTAGGGAAGAGCCGAGAGGAGCGGGAAGGCGCTGGCAATAATCGCTTCTGTCCAATCTGAAAGAAATTATTCTGTCTGCCCCTCTCTTAATGTTCCACGGGCCGGTGTGGATAGAAGTGGAGGGAGAAAAGGAGAAGAGAGAAGATGCGGGAAAGTGGACAATGAATTGGCAGTCGCAGGCCACTCAGTCCACTAACTGGTATGGATGGAGAAACGACTTGTGGTGTCTCTTGACTACTTTGCAATGAGCTGATCAAGCTGCCTTCTCGCCTTTCTATAATAACGTCCTTCCTCTGACCTTAATCCCTTTCCTTTCACTGAGACCACAAGGCAGAGGCAGCCGCTGAAATCCACCTTACGTAACTAGAATTTGACACAGAAGGAAAACATATTCCAGAAACAGAGCAACAGCTGGTACGGCAAGAAGGTAGAGCCTTCTCCGCCCAAGAGCAGCGTCCCGGGCAGCCCTAGCATTTCTTACTCAGGCCTGACGGGCTTGTTTGCGAATAATGTTTCTGTACCAATGAGTTTTGCAGACCTAGGTCACCTACGTGTCCTGAAACACTCAAGCTCAATCGATCCCATCGGGTATTTTAACCTCTGCCTGTGAGCACATATGTGTGCATGGAGGAATGAACGTGAGGCTCTGATAAAATCTTAGCCTGCCGGAAGATTTTGCAGATCTCTGTGGATATCTAGCTTCTTGCACCTGGAATTCTGCCTTGGAAAGATGGAAGCACTGATAACAAAGGCTTTCTCAGGGAACTAGGGACAACACATCACACAATTACATGCCCCTCCACCTCAAACCACAAGATACTTCTTGTATGACCAATGCATAGACAAACAAAGAAATATCTTAGCTGCGTTGCTCCCTACCTGTTTATGCGGCATAGTTGAGAGGCAGTCTCTCTATTTAAACAACATTGTGGACCAACTGTGACTTGAATTAATGAACGCTGCCCTCCCCCCAGATATACACGTATAATATCTGTGACATCCTCCTGCGTCGTTACAAAGGAAAAGTCAAATGATTTCTTTACCTTTTAAAAACTTATTCTGCAAAACAAGTTTATAAGACATCATAGTAATCATGCTTAAGAGAATTTTTGCAATAAATATAAAATCTTCCATGGGAAAGTTTTCTGAGTTAACAGAAGGATCATATCTCCGGAAGTTGAGTTGCATATCATGGGATAAGAAAACATAGATACTCTAACGTTGGAAATAAGTTAGCCCATCACCACACTGAGAAGGTCTAGGTTTATCAGGTTAAAGACTTTGAAGTCACCACCCCCCATTTTCTAAGAGAAATGGCATTTTTCACAAAGTCAAAAATATTTCACAGAGATTCACGCGTCAAGCAGAATAGAAAGCAGGAGAAAGCACTCCTGCTGAGGTTTTCCAACCTCGGGTTTATCATTTGTTGACATATTTTCTAGACGTTCCCCCATTTCTTTACAAGTAGCTGTCTTAAGTTCTTCCAGTAAATATTTTGATGAAGGCCAAACAGGAGGGAAAAGGAGAAAAACGTCAGTGAAAATGGTAGCTTACCTTTTCTGGGCATTGCTGATATCAAACTTTCCCCCAAAACATGACGCTTTCTTGCTTTGGTTGTCCCATGAATTTAGAAACCATTAAAAAATGTAAAGCAGAAATATGTGTCTGTTATTCAAAGCTGCTCCAAAACAATGCAAAAAGTAACTTGATGAAAAATAAAGTGCTTGTCTGAGCATGAGAACGCATTTGAAGCTTGGAGCTCATGCTGTTGTACGAAGTTTTGCAACTGTCTTTCTCAGTTTAAACAACCTCCCACTCCTTCTCCCAGGCACTTGCCAACTTCTATAATTTAAAGCAACTGCGATCCTTCCCATAATACTCACATTTCAAAGAGCTTAATATATACACTCGTTAGGAATGAGTAGGAGTGGGTGACATTTTTCAGCAAACCCCAGACAGAGGCAAGTGAAAAGCAAGGGTCTCAGGTGTCAGAACAGTTCTTTCTCCGGGTCTTCCATTGCTTTCCTCACCGTGTCACTTCAAGTTGCTTTTGCCTTTTAAAGTGATGCCTAAAGACCAAAAGGCATCATTTCACTGGAAGCAACAAAAGTAAATGGGAAAGTTTATGCCCCAATTTATGAAACTGATACTAGTGAAATTGTGTTTAAACGTCACTTTTGCTAACAAAATTCTTTCCATGCAATTTGTTCCTTATTTATTTTCTTGAAAATTTTAAATTATTGTACATGATTTTTTTGTAAAAGCGGTGAATACCTAAAATGATATTGTTTGTATCAGTCTTATCTTAAATTTCATCCTATACATGAATCACAAGCTCTAGGATGAATGCTTACTGTGCAGAGTCTGTCTGTGTAGTTGAATATATCTTCTGACATTTAGTATATAACCAATATTACTATTTTCACTACTGTTCCCCAACTTCCTTCCACCAAACACACACACCCCCCCACACACGAGCATTTGTGAATTCAAGTTACAGTCAACATAAAGTGTGGTCTGCTGAAAATGGTGATTTAAAAAATATTTTCTAGTATGTCTCAAAAAACTCTTGCTCAGGTCCTGAGAGATAATAAGTGCTCAATAAATACCGAATGAATAAATAAAATATTGCATATAATCAGACTGATTAACAGTTTTGATAATTTTGGTTTGCATATATGTTTACATTAGGGATGCTTAATATGTCAAAGCTTGCATGGAAGTAAACATACAACAATGTATGCCTTTGTCAGGCATACATTAATGAATGGCTATAATAAAATCCCCTAAATGAACAGAAAACATCAGTTAAATAAAGAGACCACTTGGTAGAGGATAGAAATATTGACACAGACAAAATCTATTAAGTATGATCACTGTGCAAAGTTATGCAAACAAATTTCAGGACAAAAACCTCATTCATTATTTCAAAAACGATAGATTCTTTTCCGTTATGTTTTTTGAGTCAGCTAAAGTAACTATTATGCAATGGACAGAGGATGATACCTGTGATTGAAATAGTACAAAGAGAGAGAGGATCTAAAATTACAGGGAAATGGGCAGGTTTTATGTTTTCTTTGCTGTGAATTCAGAGAAAAAGATGGAGTCTCTCTTTGCTCTGGCTTCTATTGAAGAGAAGTCTGCAGGCGCAAGCACGTGCAATGTCACAGACCTGCACTCAGATCCTGGATTTACCACTTTCCAGTTTTATGACCATGGAGATATTACTACTGAATGTCTTTAAACTTTGGTTTTCTTTATTGTGAAAGATTAAACACAAGTATATATAAACAACTTATTTGCATATGTTATACACACAATAGTGCATTTTTTCAACAAATATTAAGCATCTCACTATGTGTCAGGCACTTAGCAAGAACTACGTAGGAGTCCCTGATATTTAAGGATGTTTATCACAGCAGCTAGCATTACTTTTCCTGACTAATACCAAAATTGGTAATGCCCTAATGAAAACCTAAACTTGGTGGCATTGCCCTGCTAGTCAGGAGGTGATTGGCAAGGGAACTAACACCGGAGGCTGGAAAGGGGAAGTTCCATGTGTTACGGTGGCAAAGCATTTGGTGATACTGATGCCTGTGACAACTTGGAAGGCAGTAAGTGCCAAGTAACCTTGTAGCTCTAGGGGAAAGGATGGGTGAAAGAACATTAACTGTGTGTGTTGGCTACTACTGACTGCACTTGGCAAGGTGTTTCAAGAATGGGATGAACTCAGGAAAGTAATGGCTAAATCATAAACAGAAATTAAAGTGAGTAAGGCGAGAGTACATAAATGTGATGGCTTGCTGGAGCCTACCAAGTTTTTGAGGGGCTTACATTGCTAAAAATAACTATAAGCCTGTACTAAAAATGTATCTCGAGGCTGAAAACAACTTCTTCCAACAGCAGGAGGCAGACTGCAGACCTGCATGGAGAGCATCTGGCCAAAGAAAAGGGGGGTGAGGAGAGTCTCTCAGAAGGAAGAAGTGGAGGCCACTAAGAACAAAGGACAAGGGCATAAGCATCCTCTGGAGAGCAGAACGGGGCAACATGGAGAACCTCTTCCACCCGCAAGGTCTCAGTATCAATGGCTGCTGTGTGTGTCCCATTCTTCCCTCTTCTGCATGGGAATTTTTATTGTGGTCATCCTATTGCTGTTATACCATTTGTATAGTGTGTGCGTGTGTGTGCGTGCACGTGTGTGTGTGTGCATGTGCGTGTGTGTGTGTGCGTGCGTGTGTGTGTGTGTGTGTGTGTGCATGCGTGCTCTACCTTCAAAGATTCTTGGAAGATTAAATGAGATAATATGTGTAAAGAATGCAGAACAGGGCTCAACACAATAGTAAGTGCTCAATAAATGATAGCTCTTTCTAAAAACACTTTATTGAGGTGTAATTGACATATAATAAGCTGTATGTATTTAATGTATACAACTTGATGAGTTTGAAGATAAATATACATCAGTAAAACCACAACTAATGCCACAAACCTATCCACCTTCTCCAAAAATTTCTTCCCTCCCTCTTTATCATCATCATCATCATCATCATTATTTGTGTAAAATACTTAACATAAGATCTTCCCTCCTTGCAAAAATTTTAAGTATACAATACAGTATTGTTAACTGTAAGCATTACGCTGTATAAGAGATCTCTAGGACTTAGTCCTCTTGTCTAACTGGAACTTTTTACTCTTTAATAGAGATTTTTATATTAACCATAAATCCATGCTTTCCTGCTCTTGCAAAGATAATCCGGCTGAATGCCAGTTGTGAGTACTTGAATAAATTTAAGTTTTATAAATTGTGTGCTGATGGGCTAAGTAAATTAAAAACCATGGAAAGATTGGAGACAGAAATAGATGTTGAAAACAAAATTTACTCTCTTTTGAAAATATGTGCATTATTAAGAAAATCATCCAATGAGTGGCTGTCACATTTCAGAAACAACTTTCAAAGCAGAGAAGAAAGGAAGTTATAAATTCCAAGTTACAAGTTTTCTCCTTAGCATTTAACTTTTGTAAATGTCTCTTGCCCAGACGTTTACTTTACTGTGTTTTCTGACACTGACTGTTCCAGACTGCTCCTCAGTGGAAATAGGGTAAATGTCCCATTAATGCTAGTTGAGAGCTAATTTTTCTAAAAATTGCCCTCCACTCAAGCCACGTGTTTTTCCTACTGGCTTTGAACAGAGGTAAGGAAGATCCTAGTTTATACATTTTATTTCTACCTCAGGTATTTGGAGCACTTCCACGAGAAATGTGACTTCCTTCAATCCACAAACCCTTTTCAAAGGGTCAGACTTTTTTCTCATGTACCATTTTAAAGCAACAGTAACAATAATTACATTCACTGAACATTAATTATGTACTAGGCACTGTTTTACATGCTCTATACATGTATTAACTCATTTTATTCTCCCAACAATCCTTTGAGGTAGATACTAACATTATTCTCATTGTACAGATGGGGAACCGGAAGCACAGAGAGTTTATGTGACTAGCTCAAGGTCACACAGCCAGTAAGAAGCAAATCTAGGATTTGAACCAAGGCTGTCCGGTTCCAGCAATTTGAGCTCTTAAATGCTGGTGAAAACACATTCTCCATGACAAACGAAGAGAATATACTTAACCCACATATTTTCTGTAGTGTCCATTGCTGGAATGGATATTTGAGATGTGTGCAGATTACTTCTGAAGAATGTTCTAAACTGCTAGAAGCAGCATTTTCTTCCTATCTGAACATAATTATAAAGCTTGAACATTTCTCATATATTAAGCTTTGTGCTCTTATACTTAATTTTATTTCTTCTCTTTTGCTAGCATATAGCAGCCAAGTTTCAAATTATGTCCTGAAACCCAGGTGGCTTCATCTGGAATTTATAATACAGACTTTGCTGGGTTGTATCAAATATGTGAAGACATTGAAGAAGAGGCCAAAGGAGAAACGAGCCTTGCTGGGGAACTCCATTTTCCCCTTGGAAGACGACGTTATTAAATTTAGAGACTGGAGAGCAACTGAAATATTCTTTATTGAGAGTGGTAGGAAAGGATCCAATCCTAACCTGGAGGTGAAGTCATTCAGGAGGGTCTGACCCTCCTCCGTATTGTTAGAGGGTACCCAGATGCCTCCTGTGTGCTCATCACTGTTGGGTACTGGAGACACAGAAGTCACTCTTTGAGTTTGCAGCCTCTGACTCACCTTTCACGGATTTTGTTCATGGCGAGCAAATCTGAAGGCTCTTTTATTTTCTTTGTGATTTGGGTAGCAGATCAGCTTATTGTGGATTGTCAAAACTAGAAAGGGAGACTAGAAAAGGTCTATCTGTAGAGGGTAGGGTCATAGATTTGAAAGAAGACATGGGAGTGCTATAGTGCACTCTCTCACTGTTGCAATCCATCTTGCAACCCTGTCAGACGGCTGCCACTTCTGCTCAACTGTTCCCAGAGAGAGAGGTCCACGGTTTCACAAGGCGTAGAATAATTCTCTGAGCAATAGCAATATTTCTGCTCTGTTTTCTATGTACAAGAGCCTTTCGGATATCCTAAGGCAGCTCTCAGCCTTCCCTCCTCCCACAACCTTCATCTTCCTTTCTTCGAGCTCAATGATTCTGGCTCTTTCAACTGTTTTTCATGCAACATGATTTCAATTAGGTTACCACTGTGGTTGGCTGCCCTCCAGTGAGCCAATATCCAATTAATGGCTAAATGACTCATGAGCAGTGTGGTAAGGTGACCAAGAAATCAACAGTCTGAATTACTGTCTCATCTCTGCTATTG